TTTTTTTTTTTTTTACAAATTGGAAAAAATCAAAGCAACCCTTTGTCAAGCAAATCTCTTGGTGCCATTTTTTTTTCTAATAGCATATGGTCACTTTGTGTCTCTTCTGGCTGTTTTTAAAAATTATTATTTTAATAAAAATGTACAGAGACTTTGGTTTCCATTAATTTATTGTTGCACTTTCCTCCCTGCCCACCCCTCCCCTGCCCAGTTCACTCTTCTCTTTGAAAAGTAAAAGAAAAATTCTTTCATTGTTATACAATTCCTCTCCGCAGGTCCCCTCCACTATGCAGCCTTCATTCTGGACTCCTGTCATGACAATAATACCTAATCACATATCCCTTTTAGACAGTTTTCTCCCTCATTTGTTTCAGTGCAGCATACATTATTTATCCCATCTTTCTCAGTCTCCCTCCAACCCCAATGTCAGTCCTGGTTTACAACAGTGGCACTATGCAGTATTTGTCCTTTTGTGACTGAGATGTTTCACTCAATATAATGTCCTCCAGTGTCACCCATTTTGAATAATATTGCATGAGTTCCTTGTTTTTCAATGCAGTGTAGTATTCCATTGTGTGAATATACCAGAGCCGCTCTATCCATTCGCTTGTTGATGGGCACCTGGGTTGTTTCCAACTCCTTGCTATTGTGAACAAAGCTGCAATAAACATGGGTGTGTACCTTCTGGCCATTTTTGCAGCGGACCTTCATCATGCCGTCCTCATAGACAATGATGTGCTTGCTGTAAGCATGGCCTCTCCACCTGGGAGACACAAAGGCCTGGCGTCCCCTCTAGGGTGGTGTGCACCTTACTGCGTGGTCTGGAGTTGAACCTGCAGTATTGCCGAGGTCTGCCTGCCTCTCAGAAGTGCTTCACACAGCCTACCCTAACGCTGCTTCATAAATGTGTCAAGAAAAACCCCGTGATCAGATGGGAGAGGGTTTAGGAGTCAAACACATTTTGGGAGGCACAGTTCAATCCATGATATCACCCCCTGGAGATGATTCTTCAAGAATCCGCCTACTCATGATCCTTGAAGACACACTTGTTAGTGCTCCAGGGCCTGGGGGCTGGATGGGCAGGGTGTGTTGACTCAGGTGTGGTGACAGCAGTCTCCCTGGGCAGTGCGAGATCGACCCTGTGACCCATGAGCCACAGAACAAGCTGACCTTGGAGGCCATCCACTACTGCAAGCAACTGGGCAGTGAGGCGACCACGGTGTCGGAGATTCTGAGCCAGCGGGACCCGTTAATCTACTCAGCCATCCAGGAAGGCATAGACAAGGTGAATGAGATGGCCGTGTCCAATGCGCAGATGGTCCAGAAGTGGACCATCCTGGACAAGGACTTCTCCATCGTTGGTGGAGAACTAGGTGAGTGGGTTGGAGTGCTGGTGGCCTTGGGGAACGGTCCCTTACGCACTTCTAGGGGGACCCTGCCCTCCACAGCTCAACGGTCCACAATCTCTCCCATCTTCTCTCTCCTCCCGACTCACTCACCTGCCCCAACCCGTGTACACTCCAGTCACATGATTCCCCCCAGGCCCTCAACCCTCCTTCTTCCTACTCCAGAACCTTCGCACAGGCTGCTCCTTCCATCTGGGATAATCTCGCCATCTTTTGTGTGGGGCTGGCTCCCTCTCAGAGTTCAGATCTGACCCTAAAAGGCCACTTCCTCAGAGCGTCCTCCCCGGACTGCACCCTTTGTCAGTCACCCCACCCTCTCTCTCTGCTGCGACTGGACATCTTGGGGACTTATTCAGCCTCTAGAGGAGTGCTGGTGGCGCAGCACTTAAGCAGCTGGCTGCTGATGGAAGACGTTGGGGGTTCAAACCCACTTGATGGCTCCACAGGAGAAAGCCCTGGCAGTCTTCTCCCAGAAAGGTGGCGTTAAAAAAAAAAAAAAAAGAAAGGTGGCATTCTAGAAAACCCCACGGGGTCGCTGTGCAGCGGAATCAACACCAAAAACAATGAACACAGAATCAGTAAAATACAGACACACAGATCATTGCTGCTGTTGAGCCGTTGACTCAGAACCGACTCGTAGCTGGCCCTCCAGTGGATTTTCAGAGACAGTCACATGGGAGGAGACTGCCTATTCCCCCAGCAGAGCAGCTGGGGGATTAGAACCATGTGCCTCTGGGATTGCAGCGCAGTGTCTTACCACTAGGCCACTGGAGCGTGTGTGTGTATATACACACACACACACACACACACACATATATACACATACATATACACACGCGTATATGTGTATATGTATATGTATACGTATACATGTATGTGTATATATGTAGATATATATGTGTGGGTATATATGCGTGTGTGTGTATATGCTATGTTATGTGCCACTGAGTTGCCTGCAACTCATAGCAACCCTGTGTACAATAGCTCTGAACTCTGTGCTCCGTCCTGAGCCAGTCTCACGGACTCCGGCATACCTACCTCCATTACCTCAGTATGCGTGCATGCGCGCGTGTGTGTGAACTCTGGTGATTTAGTGGTAAGGAGTTGGGTTGCAGTTCGAATCCACTAGCTGTTCAGTGAGAGGAAGGTCGACAGTTTCCTTCTCTGTGATTTACAGCCTCTGAAAATCCACTGGAGGGTCCATTGTAAGTTAGTTCTGACTCAGTGGCACATAACAACTATATGTCATTGTTGTTGATTGCCTTCAAGTTGAACACAACTCATAGTGATCCTATGAACAGAAGGCCTGAAGCCCCTCTACAACTATCAACATTTATCAAAGTATATAGATAACAACTATATATAGATATAGAGATACAGGTACAGATAGGTATAAAGATAAAGATAGATATATAGAGATGATAGATATAGATGATATAGACATAGACATAGACAGACAGACATAGACATAGACATAGATGATATAGACATAGACCTAGATATAGATACATATATACACACACATACAGACAACCCAAACAGTGAGGATGGTGTGGGATAGGGCAGGGTTCAGATCACGTGTTTGCTATGAGTCGCAGTTGATTCAATGACTTTTAGCCATGGTCTTTGCAATCACTTGTTATGCATCAGAGAGTTGGACAATGACTAGGGAGGATAGAAGAAGAATTGATGCCTTTGAGCTGTGGTGCTGGAGAAGAGTATTGAATGTACCATGGACTGCCAAGAAAACAAACAGATTCATCTTGGAGAGGGTTAAACCAGGCTGCTCCTTGGAGGCAAGGATTCTGAGGCTCCATCTAACATACTTTGGACATGTTGTGAGGAGAGACCGGTCCTTGGAGAAGGACATCATGCTTGGGAGGGTGGAGGGACAGCGCAGGAGGGGAAGGCCCTCTATGAGGTGGATTGATTCAGTGACTGGGATAATTGGGATGGGTGTGTCAGAGGCAGTGCGATTGGCACAGGATAGAGCAGAGTTTAGGGCTGTTGTACATAGGGTCGCTGTGAGTCGCAAGCAACTCGACGGCACATAACAACAACAACATTACACATATATGCACACATAGAGAACCTATAAGCTATCTACATATATGGAGCCCTGGTGGTGCGATGATTAAATTATTAGCTGCTTACGTAAAGGTCAGTCGTTCAAACCCACCTGGAAGCACATGGAAGAAAGACCTGGCAAGCTGCTCTTACCGTGATTACAGCCTAGAAACGCTGTGAGACAGATGGGCCACTGTCAGTTGGGATTGATTCCGTGGCACCTACCAGAAACATCAAATAAACAGAAACAGTAAGGGGTAAGATGTAGACACGCACACACACAATCAGTGAACAGTCATAGAGCCAACAAGCGACACATCAGTACACACGTGTGTGTAGAGTGATGGTGTGAGCTGAAGCGCTCAGATGCTAACACAGAGATTGGCAGTGTGAACCCCCCAGAAGCTCTGTGGGAGAAAGGCCTGGAGATTGGCTCCGGTAGAGGTGACAGGCTGGGAGGCCCCATGGGTCTACTTTGACATGTGGGGTTGCTATGCATCACGTGTTATTTTGTTGTCTGCCCCAGGAAGGAAGGGTTTAATTCTGTGGATGGTCTGGGGTTTGCTCTCTGCCCATGGGGGCTATCGTGTGGGTGTATGGGGTGATGATTTTAAATGAGGGGATACATAAGGTCTGAACAACCTGAGTTCCACCCTGCTCTGTCCTCTTGGGTCAGTAACTGGTCCTTCTGAGCCCTGGCCTTTCCATTTTAAATTGAAGGCAGTCTTCATGAAGGTTGGAGGCCAAGCCCCTGGTAGTCCAGCGTCCAGGGCAGCTGGGTCCTGTCACACCCCTGCCAGGTGGCCCCTGTTGCACTGAGTCCTCATGGACAGGATAGGGGTGCCTGGCGTGGTGGAAGCATCCTTGGACGGTTCAAGCAGACAGCTCCCTCTGGGGCCTCCTCAACCCCAGGACAGAGTCGGGGACCCAACAGGACCCCTGCGCTAGGATGACAGGCATGGTCCGGGATGTGGCTGGCCCAAGGGTGGACTTGTCATTTCTGTCTCTGCTGAATGACTGTCTCCTTCTTGACAGGTCCTACGTCAAAAATGAAGAGGCATTTCATAACCGAGAAATACAGAAAGGAGATCTTAGACTTGTACAGCTGACTTCTGGGTCGAGTTGCTCGTGGCTGCAGGGACGGTGAGACAGACTGCGGGGCTGCGGGGGGTGTGGCTGACCGGGTGCCTCTGTGTGACCATGTGCACAATCACACACGCTCACGTGTGCTGTGACCTGCTGCCCCTGACACACTCACACACATCCCATGTGCTCTCACACACCCCAACACGTGTTCACATGCATGCACAATCACACACATTCACTCTTACCTATTCACACACACTTGCGCCCACAGACAGCAATGACCTCCACGTACTGAAACTCACACCCTGACACACACCTGCACACTCCCAAGCTCACAAGTGCTCACACACTGCACTCTCACATGCTCTCATCCCTCCTGGGCATGCACACACGTGCTCACAGGCACCCACAGGCTGACACACATTCACATGCACACACCTGTGCACACTCACACTGATACATGTGCTCACAAGCATTCTCAGCACACCTGTACACACTTTTTTAAAAAAATTTTTGTGTGAGTGTGCCGTCAAATCAGATCTGACTTGTACAGGAGGAGATTGTCCCTCCTTTTCCCGGCAGAGCATCTGGTGGATTCGAACCGTGTGCCTCTGGGATTGTAGTTGCAGCTCCTTGCCACTAGGCC